CAGTAGAAACTCATGCACGTGTGTTCGGTAGCATGTCTGCGACGCGATGGACGACGTAACTCACAGAGCAGTTAATGACGCGCGTGCTTGGATACGACGCTGAGAACGACGCAATTGATACCACGGCCAATGGAGACCACTAGGACAGCGATACCGACCAATTTTTCGTTTCTCCTCTCCGTATATAGCTTTTGCTGTAAAAATCGTTTCGCGTAAAGCCAGCTAAACCCGCTTACTGATTCCGAAGATGTACACTGCGCTCAGACTTCGCGCACACACAGGCAGATGAGCCGCACGGATCGAATAAACGCATGCTTATCCAGCACAAGTGCATACGGCATCATGTTAGTTTCAATCGACGTGCGGATGCAGCACTTCCACGCGAAGCGCGCAATTTGCCGCAGTCCCTAACCGTTCGAGGGAAGCGGCATTGACAATACACATACGTTTCGCAATAGACTATTCGTATATATTAACCGCAACACAATGGGTTTCCTGATGAATATGTGTGGCGTTTAACGTCAAGAACCACATTATGATTATGAGCTATACGTCGTAGTGGAGGTCTCCGGAAATTTCGACCACCTGGGGTTCTTTAGCGTGCACCCGAACCTGAGCACACGGGCCTACAGCATTTCCGCCTACATCGAAATCTTGTCGCGCAAAGATATAACAACCACACTTCTGGGTCGTCGCAGCGCTGCCACAGCACATTAAAAAGGCTGCGCAAAATACAGAGGCGGTGTATATGGCAGCAGCTTTCACCGGTCTTTGGTTCGTGAGTGCACGTGCAGCATTACGTACCGCGTGACAGTTACGACACACTCATCGTGACACCGGAAGATTTCTCAGCGGCTGCACACTACATACGCCTGCGTGACGATGCCGCCATATAAGGCGCACTACGAAACTGTAGCTTTCTGGGAATCAATGCGGAGGCTATATGATCGGCGGACACAATACGTCACCGGGATAGACGCCGTCAGCAGAACACTACTTACACGTGGACGTCTTATTATTATTATTTTTTTTGCCGCAGACGCATTTCAGGGATCTGTCTAAGATGAAGCGGCCTCCGCGAAACAAATAAACTGCTAATGCGCATACGAGATACTCTACTCGTTACATATAAGATGCATATAGAGCACACCAGTCTCGGAGGAAAACAACATGAGAGATGCAAAAAAAAAATGTCTGGTTTGCTAACCAGCACGAGTGAAGGAAGGGGGGTAAAGTCAGGCAGTGAGTATACAGCAGTGCGAAAAACGTAGTGCTTACAAACAGCATCACTCAGAAATACTCACTCCTTTTTGATCGGACTGATTGATCGGAGGTTCAGACTGTGAAGTTTGCGGGCGCAAAAGCTTTGCGCACCGTTAGTATCATTGTCCTCGTCTCGGTAAAGAAAGGCGCTCCGGATCGTGCTCAACAAGCCTGACAATTGCACTCGTGCGGCAAACGAACTATACTTGAACCGAGGCCCTCTTAGACGTCAAGATCCCAAGTTCCTTTGAGTACATTACGGAGTTGTTTTAGAATTCTAAGCGCACAAAAAAGAACGACCATTGTCAGGCATCTTCATCCTCTTTATCTCCAACGGGCTCATTTCCTATGTTATGCTATTTTCTCTTCCTGTAATGTACAGTAGCCAACCTTTCACAGCATATATATTTCAGGTGTAAACAAAATGAGAGACTGAACATTGTTTTTCGCAAGGATGACAAGGTAAACATTAGGTATTGCCGTGGACGGATCACATTTTACTAACCGTAATGTGCAACATAATCACCCAAATGAACTTATGACCCGCACCGCTACAACTAAGAACAGTCTATGTACCTCCCGTTGACGTTTGATCGTCGTATCCCTAGCGCGATCAACAAAACTTGGTCCCCACCCAAGAATATACAGACATCAGTCCCCAGGCACGTATTAAGCTATGACGTCAGGCGTAAACGTTGTAAAGACGAAGATTCCGCACCAACTACCACACAAAACAGCATCACAGTATTCCAACATCCCCTCTCTAGATTTACAGATACCGACTGGAAGACGTGACATAGTCGCCACAAAGCATAACCTAACGATCCTGTCATTTGCATGAACCAGACTAAAGATGAATCACGGGTCATAGCTAAAGCTGCAGGAAACACAACGTGACTCTCATCTCAACGTATTTTCTACACGTACCCGGAACTGTACAGTGCGCGGCTGAATCAAACTGCACGGTTCAATAGCACACTCAATCCAACAACAGCGGGACACACACGGAACTCGCATTGACTTGCCTATATGAAGGAGCAAAATCGCAATTCAGTTGTTGAAATGTGGTATTATTAACAAGTATTTCCAGTGAAATCGTTTTGCGTTGTTGCTGATAATCCTGCTTCTCAATCCTTTCATTTTTTTTTACCTGCGGCTCATTTACCCTTAAAATAAGGCTGTTAATGTGCACCGCTGTATAATCGCCAAATTGTACATTGGGAGGTGGGGGGGGGGGCGGTGCTTGTAGCGTGACAATATAATTTTACCAGAATGTTCCAATGGATCTCAGTTGCATATAACCGGAAGTCGTTTTTTGGTAACTAACTTTATTCGTTAAGTCAAATTTTTTTCGCCTCCTTCCTGTTCAGTTAAGGCAGGCCACCGCTGTCACCGACAAGAGGTGGCGCTGCGTACACATGCCCTCTAGAGATACTGTATATGCTACCTTTAGCATATGCGCCCCGCCGCGGTGGTCTAGTGGCTAAGGTACTCGGCTGCTGACCCGCAGGTCGCGGGTTCGATTCCCGGCTGCGCCGGCTGCATTTCCGATGGAGGCGGAAATGTTGTAGGCCCGTGTGCTCAGATTTGGGTGCACGTTAAAGAACCCCAGGTGGTCGAAATTTCCGGAGCCCTCCACTACGGCGTCTCTCATAATCATATGGTGGTTTTGGGACGTTAAACCCCACAAATCAATCAATCAATCTTTAGCATATACAGTAACTTTAATGCTCTTTTTGCTGTCCTCTAGTGTCTCCAGCGGCCGCATACGCAGATGTCCCCAAATCCTGGTCATGGATCAGGGTGAGTATTCAGTGACGCACTGGGTGCAACACAGTTCCCGGCATATTCGCGCCGAGAGAGCCGAGCAGCGGCTCACGCGTTGTTGTCTTGCATAGTGTGACAGGCTGGCTCCCATGTCACACGCGGTGAGCGTGCACACTTCTCGTCGTGCTTGCAACGAGGTTAAACCTCTGCAAATCAATCCTCTCATCCTTTCCCAAAGCAAACAAAACCAAAGATGTCGCTCGAGAAAAAATTGGTTTAACCGCTACGACAAATGTTTCTCGAGCGATCTCACAGACGCTAATTCTCGCAGCATACAGGGCTGTCGCGACAGGGTCCGTGCTTTGGCAGCGCGACCACGGCGAAGCGCGAGCCGCGCGAAGCCGGGTCCCGTGCCAAAAATTCTCGCGCGCAAGAGGTCGCAATCGCGTCGAGGCGAAACGTGTTCTATTTTTCCTTGCGCAGTACACACGAGAGTAGAGCCGGTCGCGTAGGGGCGTGTTGTCGTTCCGCGAGACCAACAACCTCGAGAGTTGAGTGGCATGCGGCAAGTCGCATAACCAAGCAGCCTTGTGCTCTGTGGCTGCCAGGGTGTCGTCAACTGAGGAGGAACGACCGATAATAACAGCGAAGGTTGGTTAGACATGATAGCGACGCATGAGGCCATGTATAAAATTGAAAGCGTCCAATTCACCGAAACTACGCAGGAGACTATGCGTGTACCTTACGATTCCGAATGATAGTACCCTTGATACAGAAAGATAATCGAGTGAAAATATGAGGTTGGCTAAAGTTAGGCGTGCAACAATAGGTTGAAAAATGTAAAGCAGCCAAAAAAAAAAGAATGCGCATTTATCAGATCTCAACTCATTCGTCGTTAAAACAGCTCGACGATCCAGTCGCTCTCGCTAAAACATTAGATCGACAACCTCCTCACACACGTTGTTCAAAGTGGTTGGCAGGGAAGCGGAAGGGGAAGGGGGAGGGGGGCTAATCTGCAAGACTACCGGGGGGCGTCGGTCTTGCGAATCGAAAGAGCTGTGTAGAAGAGAACAGTACCGGAAAATACTTTGGTTCGGGCCTCGCCCAGATATATTGGCTGGAGCCACTTAAGTTTCCCTTGGTCGATTATCAGGGGTATGTTCTCCATGTTTTCGCAAAACTAGAAAATCGCGACAAGAACGGGGTTGGGTAGCCTTTAACTTACAAGAGGAAAGAAGCATTTTACGCACTATCTGTAGCTTCTTGAGAAGCACCGCAGGGATTTCCACGTGTCAGAAAAAAGTAAAGATTCCTGATGGCAACGCTTGCAGTATCACGTGTTCGATGTGCGACAATTATTAAACAAACAGGTGACGTCGAAAGCATTAAAATGCCAACTGTAAAGATGTTTCTTCACTTCAAATAAAACAAAAACAAAGAACAAGCCATGTCATTGCTCTTTCCATCACGCTTTCCATCAGGACTAAGGCAACAGTGGCATTCATGTGATGCGTGACGAAAGTCCCAGGAGAGAGAGAAAGAGAGATAGGAAACAGAGATGTAGACTATATTACCCGTTAAACTACACGCTTGACAAAAGAGCAGAACCCCTCCCCCCTTCTTCCCACGTGGCCATATAAAACAGAAGCTTTTGTGTAAACGTCTACAAGGTGATTAAAATAATAATTAGCGCGCAAACACGCGGCACATTCACACATCCAGGTACCAAACACGTACAGCGCTCTGTACGTCTGTGGTACCTGGGTGTGTTATTTTATTTTAAAAAAACTAGTTATTTTTCAAAAATGAGCAACCAACTAGCCCAACAACAAGTTATTTTACTATTGCCTACAACGCCAGATGGGCGTGGCGCGTTATATGCATCGAGAGCGTGGTTGGTCAGCGTGTAAACTGCTACGAACAATGTTTTGCCGAGTGCACTGCGACCACAACGGGGCAATGATACTCACACGTCGTTCTTAGGCACCTTCTTGGCTGGCGTGTGCTGCAGACCCACGTCCACAGGTTCTGCCGAGATAGCGAGACGCTTTAGCCGTGCCCCTCCCGTGGGCAGCGCATACTGCTCGTGGCGACCAGCCGACAGCTGGAGGTTGTGAGTCAGCTGCACCGTGAGAGGCTTCAACACGTCGTGAAACCTGCCTAACTGAAGTTGAAGCTCGTGATTGACGCCTTCTAGGATCTCCAGGCGAGACCTGAGATCGGCAATCACTCGATCCTTCTCCGACAGCTCGGCTCGATACTGCTCGAGCGCTGCGAGCATTTCCACAGCGGTCAGGGCGTCCACCACGTTATTTTTCTCACAGGATGTGCTTTCCATGGTGCACAATGTTCGGGATGGCACTGGGCACTGCGAGATAACCACTGATAGCCACAATGCGGACCACTGTTCAGAGGCAGCGCTTCCAAACACGAAACCAAAGAAATCGTCCGCCAAGCGCGCTATCGGTCTCTATCGACACTTGGACAGTTTTAGCAGATGTGACTCACATTGGGGCTTGAGTACGCGAAATGGAGCAGCACTGGCGCACAACAGAGGCGGCTTGGCCTTCCTATCTCGTAAAACACGCAATAGATGCTGATGTTCCGAACACAATTCACTTCCAATATTCTCGCCAATTGGCACTCACTTCCAAACGATGCGTGCTGCGGCTCGACGCGTTATGGCAACGATTTCCAGGAAAGCCAAACACGTGATTGCGCTCAGTCAGAACGTTCGTCTATCAACTTCTTTCTTCTAGAATATTCGCAACAATCTAACCTTGAGAAAATTGGCCACGAAATGCGGCAAGCAGAGTGTAAGCTGGCCTGAGAGCAACTGGAGCGCAAACGAAGACACAAATCCAAAGAGCCAGCAGTCAGAGTACAAATATGCGAAAACACAAACTGTCTGTCACATCGGTGGCACGGCGTGCACTTTGAAAAGGCTCGTCGCGTTCCAGCAGTCCAGCCTTGCCATACGAAATCGTCGCACCTCGCAAGCAAAGAAAATCACTCTTCTCGCTTCTTCGGAGAGATTCCTTGTTGTAGAAGTAACGATCGAAGCGAGAGGCGCCGCTGTACGCACAGGACGGCAGACGTTCCGGCGCTCGAAGTTCACGTGCGAGACGATCCGGTAGAGGGGGGCCCATCGACTGGCGTGAAATTCACTCTTTCCTCGGGTGGCCGGGGAAAGCACCGGCCCGCAGTCTAACGCCAGTCGAGGGCTTGTCTCCGCTATGCACGCCGCCGCGTGGTGTCGGTCGCATCGTTCCCTTCTCCGCCATCGTTCAAGGCCGAATGGCCCGGCAGCCCACGGGTTCGTGCGGACGGTTACTCAGAAGGGATGCAACGACGCGCAGTCGCTGTCGAAAAAAGACGTAACGTTGGTCTCAGTTGCCACAGCGCGGACTCATTAGGCGCCTCTTAAGATCTTACGCGGCATCGGAACATTGTGCGCACCCAGAACAAGAACGCTACGTCTTCACAGCACGAAATAATAACGGGCCAACCAAGAAAATTTTCGCTGAGTTTCGGCATAGTGTTCCAGCAAGCATTCGTTCTTTGAGTCATTTAATAATTGGAATGCATTATGTGTGCTACATAACACGGGAAATTCTGCGAGCATCTGGTGTTAATATCTGACTGTAAAAACGTACGTGACCAAGTGATAACGTCAAGTTTCAATGTCAATGAGAGCCGGCACCCCCCCCCCCCCTCCTCAGAAAGAAAAAAAGGACGACTTTGCCGGTTAGAAAAAATAATACTCGCGTTCAAAGCCAACCTGGCCCCATCCCAATGTTGAGGTGGCCCACCCCCAGAATTTGGGTGGCCCGAACTTAAAAAGGTGATGTTGCCCACTACGAGCACGATGACGACGTTTGACAGCTACGCGGCGAACAGCCTTAAACTGCAAGGTCACATGTCGAAGTGATTACGATATGTGGCCCAGACACACCGCGGCCACGATTGCCGCACGAGTCTGCTCCGTCTCTATCAGTAACTGTATTTATTACAGCGAAAGCTGTTCTGAGATCTAGAGTCACGCGCGGCGCCGCAGTTGTCCGCCACGCTTCTCAGAAGAATGACAAAGGATAGCCTAGCGAATGCCAGCCTACTGCCCAGAAATTATTATCATTAATGCCGTAGTGGGTACCCAGCAAGTGTGCTCGCAGCAGCTACTCAATGAGTGTTTAGAAGAGGCTCTGAAAGGCCGCTCTTCTAGCTTTCGCTGTGACTGTGCTGCCACTTCCGCGCAGGCCTGGCGTTTTATTTATTTATTTATTTATTCATTTATTAAGAACTTTGTAAATGACTGACTGGTTCATACAGTTTAACGTTAAAATTCAATGCAGAGAGCGTATAGGGTCACGGATTGATTTTCTCCATATAAACAAGCAGGCCCCAATAATCACTTCTAGCACTGTTCAATTTTTTTTAAAATAAGTATTAACCTGCCCAGCTCGGCGAACTACCTTCAGAATTTTCGCAGCAATGATTTATTCCTCTTTTGTGTTTATTTTGCATCCTCCCACCCCCCAACCCCAGAAAATGCATCTACCAAGGTTTCAACTTGAGACCAGGCGTCGTTCGGCAGCCGCAGTCACGAGCCACCATGAGTATTCAGAATAAGAAATAAATAAAGGCATGCGCCCAATCGCACGGCCACTGCTCGAACTTTTCGCGGTAACAGCGCTGGCCAGTGCATGCGTTTTGCCGCGCAGAATAGCGTTCGCGAGTACGCGCCGAAGCCACTGCGCGAGCAACGTTTTGCTAAGCCGAGACGTTGCCGCGATATAGTCGCCTACACGACGACTGTGTGGCCTTCACCGCGAGCGAAGGACTTCAGCACCGCGGAGGTGTACACGCGCGAAAGTTTCGGACACCCACCGGGTATATAGAACCGTTAAGGCCTGACCACACGCAGCCGTTGCAGCGCGTCAGCGCGGGGCTTTTTTGACGCCCGCGTCAAGAAGCCCCTGAAAGAGAGGGCACAGAGAAATATACTATATAAAGAGTGGTCACTGGAGCCTTTTCGCGGCCCACCAAGAGAGTGTCTGATCAATCGCTAGATAACGTACCCATCATCGCTTTTACTTCTTTTTTAAGACATGTAATAGCCTCTTCAGGAGGACAATGAATACCCAAGTTTAGGATCAATTTTTTGCAAATTTTCTTATTAAGTTGTGCGATTTTCTATATCCGCTGTACATCATATCCCGCTGAGGACATTTAATGCCTTACAACAGAAAATGGTAAAATACGACTAGGAAGTGCGGTCATTCTGAATTTGTTTTGCAGAAAGAGGCACATTCATATGGTTTAGATGCGTTGTACACGTATTCCCTTCCCGAAAGCATAGGTGTGTAGCCTAGTGGTAAAGACACTCACTTTCGGAGCATGAGCATGCAGCTTCAAACCCCCAGCGTCGGAAAGAAGAAAAATTTGTTATTTTATTTATGCTGAAGCCATTATCGGGTCTGACCAACCACTCGTGGTGCTGAAAGCAGCGCAGTAGCTGGGCCACAGGGCCCTACGGGAGTGTCCGCTCTTTATGTGTTTCTCTATGGAGAGGGCGCGTGGCTACGCGAAGCTGCGCGGCCACTCTCCGTATGGAGGGGGCACGACGCCGCTTCTAAGAGCCCCGCGCTGACGCGCTGCAACGGCTGCGTGTGGTCAGGCCTTTGTGATACCGTACCTCACGCCGGGACGAACGAGTAAAACGCTTTCAGTGGCTCCAAATGTAGAGTCAGCGAAGGCAGAGGAGGGCTGGACGCTGTGCTATCATACTGCTCGATTTAACTCGTGCTCGTCATGCTTCAAAGCCGCAAAAGAAAAGGGGCGATAGTGAGCCTCGCACAACGCGCGCGCAGAAAGAATGGCAACACAGGAAGGAAGTGGAGAGGGGTTGGTTACGTGAAAAATGAACGTTTCACGGTTGGCCGTTTCAAGCGTCTCGCCACGGTCACTTCGTGACGCAACTCTTTTTTTTTTTCCCTTTCCGTCTCGGTCATGAAAAGCAGACGCGCCCGCTGACTTGAACCCGCGTTCAGAGGCACGTCCGACACGTCCTATATACTGTTAAGAGTTCGCAGCGCAACAGCTTCAAACAGTGTGTACGTGCGTCACAGTCAATTGTCAAAAGGCGGCAATAATACAAAGAAAATGCCTTGTGTAGATGTATTCCGCATCTTGGTAGATATTTGTGCTGTTCTCTGCCAAGACTGTTGCACATTACTTTAGTTTTGGGGCACATTAATTTTCAGATTTACTTTTCCGCTTTCCGCATCCAGTTCAGTAATCATGATCTGTAATTCGTCCTCTGAGTTGCTTATCAAGGCAATGTCATATCGCAGGTTACCAAGATACACTCCATTAACTCTTATCCCTAACTCCTACCAATCTAAGGCCCCGAAAACTTCCTGTAAACACGCGGTGAATAGCATTGGAGAGATCGTGTCTCTCTGCCGTACGCCCTTATTTATTGGTATTCTGTCGCTTTCTTTTTAGAGAACTACGCTGGCTGTGGATCCGCTGTAAATTTCTTACAGTATGTTTATGTAGGGTTCGATGCCTTGACTCCGTAGTGCCTGCATTACTACTGATGTCTCGACTGAGTCAAACACGTTCTTGTAATTTATGAAGGCTATATATAGGGGTTGATTGTATTCCGCGTATTTCTCTATTACCTGATTAATAGTATGAATATGGTCTATTGTGGAGTAGTCGGTAGGAAACCCTGCTTGGTCCCTTGGTTGATTGAACTTGAATATCACGTCAATTCTATAGCTAATATTTTTTGTGAACAGTTTGTAGAGAACGGACAATAAGCTGATCGGCCTGTAATGTTTAAAGTCCTTGGCGTCAACTTTCTTATGGATTAAGATGATGTCTGCATTCTTGCAAGATTCTGGCACCCTTCCCGTCACGGGACACTTCGTATATAAGGTGGCCAGTTTTTCTAACAAAATTCGTCCACCATCTTTCAGCAGGTCTGTTGTTACCTTATCCTCATCTGCGGCTTTGCCTCTTTGCATTTCTTCTAGGGCTTTTCTTAATTCCCGTGTCGTTAATGGCAGGATATCGAAATTCCTTTCGGCTATCATTGCTTCTTACGAATATCATCCTGGTTGTTTCGGCTTCTGTACAGCTCTCTGTAGAACTCCTCCACCACCTTAACTATCCTATTCATATTGGTTATGACACTGCCTTCCTTGTCCCTTAATGAATACACACTATTTCTGCCTATGCGCAAGTTTGCCTTCGCAGCTTTTAGGCTTCTGCCGCTTTTTACAGCCTGCTCAATTATCTCCGTGTTATACCTTCTGATGTCAGCTACTTGCGCCTATTTATTAACTTCGAAAGCTCCACTAGCTCTATTTTGTCGGTTGCATTTGCGGCTTTCATAATTTGTCGTCTCTTAATAAGATATTTCGTCTCCTGAGATAGTTTGCAAGTGTCCTGTATAGTCACTGTACCTCCGACTTCCGTTGCACTCTCTTTGATGATACTAGTAAGATTATCGTTCATTGTGTCAACGCTAACATCGCTTACCTCATTTTGCGCCTTGTGCGAAAGAAACTTCGTGCGAAAGTAATGACGTGGTCGCATCACCCTCTGCATAGCGTCAACTTGAATTGATAGACCCCCACGGCTCTCGGCACCACACACACACACAACGATAGGTTCACGCGACA